ATCTGTTAGAATACTTTATTGTTATTAATTGTGCTTCTTTCACTGGGCGCATGTTGGATGAATGAAGTGAGGTGCATGTATATATTTACTGGTTTATTGACTTTAAGTGTAGTATTAACTTTTTGGCACAGATCACTTTACTATGATCAATTGAGGTATTTTCATTGGATACATGCTCGATGAATGAATTGAGGTGTATTTATATATTTATTGGTCTATTTATTTTTAGCGCAGTGCCACTGGGATATTACTGTTATTTAGTGTTTTTCACTATTTGCACAGCTTGATAGTGATTCGGATTAGGGAGTAGTGCGGATATTCTTCTGGTCAATTCTAATTTTACAGTTATGTCATTACAATCCTTAATGCTAAAAATATAAAAATAGAAGTAAAATATATTATGATCTCTTCCAAGCAGAGGAGGTGCTCGAGGTTTTGTTCAACCCACTTTCAAATAATATTCTATATACCTAGAAACCAAAATATATTGCCAAAAGTATTGGGACACCCCATCCAAATCATTGGATTCAGGTGTTCCAATCACCTCTGTGGCAGCAGGTGTAAAATCGAGCACCTAGGCATGCAGACGCTTCTGCAAACATTTGTGAAAGAATGGGTCACTCTCAGGAGCTCAGGGAATTCAAGCATGGTACCATGATAGGTTGCCACCTGTGCAATAAGTCCATCCATGAAATTTCCTTGCTACTGAATATACCACGGTCACCTGTTAGTGGTATTATAACAAAGTGGAGGCCACTAGGAACAGCAACTCAGCCACGAAGTGGTAGGTCAAGTGAAATGACAGAGAAGGTCAGCGCATGCTGAAGTACACATTGCGCAGAAGTCGCCAACTGTCTGCAGAGTCAATAGCTACAGGCGTCCAAACTTCGTGTAGCCTTCAGACTGGCACAACAACAGAGAGCTTCATGGAATGGGTTTCCATGGCCGAGCAGCTGCATCCAAGCCTTACATCACCAAGTGCAATGCAAAGCGTCGGCTGCAGTGGTTTAAAGCACGCCGCCACTGGACTCTAGAGAAGTGGAGTGACGAATCACGCTTCTCTGTCTGGCAATCCAATGGACGTGTCTGGGTTTGGCGTTTGCCAGAACGGTACATGCCTGACTGCACTGTGCCAAGTGTAAAGTTTGGTGGAAGGGGGATGTTTTTCAGGGGTTGGGCTTGGCCACTTGGTTCCAGTGAAGGGAACTCTTAAGACATCAGCATACTAAGACATTTTGGACAATTTCATGCTCCCAACTTTGTGGGAACAGTTTGGGGATGGCCCCTTCCTGTTCCAACGTGACTGCGCACCAGTGCACAAAGCAAGGTCCATAAAGACATGGATGAGTGAGTTTGGAGTGGAGGAACTTGACTGGCCTGCACAGAGTCCTGACCTCAACCTTTGGGATGAATTAGAGCAGAGACTGCGAGCCCGTCCTTCTTGTCCAACATCAGTACCTGACCTCACAAATATGCTTCTGAAAGAATGGTCAAACATTCCCATAGACACACTCCTAAACTTTGTGGATGCCTTCCCAGAAGAGTTGAAGCGGTTATATCGGCAAAGGGTGGGCCAACTCAATATTGAACCCTACGGACTAAAAATGGGGTGCCATTAAAATTCATGTGCGTGTAAAGGAAGGCGTCCCAATACTTTTGGCAATATAGTGTAGGTGCCTTTTCATGCAAAAAAAATACTAAATACTTGGAAACTACACATATTTCTTTTCTTTTATTTCTGTGTTTTATAAGTAAGAACTAGATGACTTTAGAAATTCACTCCACTATATAGACAATCCATAGCAATAAATATACTGTATAATAGAATATAGCTAAACACTGTTGAAATATTAATTTTGTTTAACTGCATGGATCAAGTACCAACAGGACCACAGATTCCACTAATCTGATTTTTCTACAGAGGTCAGGAAACGAAGATCTAATCATGTTGTTCTTTTACTTCCTCATTGCCTGAAGATTGGATTAAGCCCAGCAAAGGACTAGAAGAAACTAGTCAATCTTTTGCTGAAGAAGTGTTAACACCTGCTGTCGAGTACAAAGGTTAAAGCTGAACAAGGTGTTGCTATGCTGCTGCATTACTCCTTGCCCATGTAGGTCAGTACTGTAATCTACACAAACAAGCTTGGTGCACTGCCTAGAATTCTCCAAAGGTAGGATTATAACATATCACTAATTTTACATTGTGTTGCTTGTTTCTTTAAAAAATACATCCGAGTGTCTGTCGATTTTTCAACTGTGATTCTGTATGTTTTCCATTTGTGCGATACCATTGTTTAAAAGGAAAGTAAGACAATTAGTAACATTTATGAGAATAGTTGAGAGCAAAAGAAAATCCCTGCTGCTAAGGAAAATACACTTGTTTACGTTCAGCTGACTATGCTAGTAATTACAGAGCGTATTGTAGCCTCTTTCAAACTAAAATAACCACACATTGACCACTGCACTGACATTTACTACCACTGTAAATTCATTATCTTTCATTTTAGATTTATAGATGTGGGATCTTTGAGCTACATGTCTGTAGCTGATATTAAGGGTCTTCCCTGTATTAATGTTAGTTATCACATTTACCAGTCCTTTAAGCTATCACTGTTTATATTGGTACTCAGTAGGAATGCCCCCTACATTTATGTCAAACATATATACACATCGCTTTCTAATTTCTTACTAAGTATGTTAATGATGCATACAAGTGTGATCGTATTTATTGCAATGATTAATATTACCAAACTTGCATGACTAATTCATATGTTGAATCCACACCACCGCAACTGAGTCCCCTTATTGTACATGCAGGACACTCATGGACTTGGCTTTCTGTGAACAGGACACTGCACACATAGCAGATCCTAGCAGTGTAAAGTTCATACTATGTGGTGCATAGTGCAACCCAAGATAATGCTGCTATAAAATAGAACATTAGTAAAATAAATAAAAAATAACTCTTAGTAAAATAATTGATCCTGTCTGTATTGCAAACAGTGTAAACAGAAAGTAGACAAAAACATCCAAAGTGGTCAATCTAATATGTCCATTTGTGTACATTGTTATCTTTAATACATTTGTGGCAATCCTAGGAACGTCCACACACGGCAATTTTCTGCCAGTTTCAGCTTTTAATTACCAAAATGCCATGGGTTTAGGCAAATAACTGTTGACCATTAAAACAAATAAAAGTGTTCTTTATTGGCTGCCTTGATCTGTTCAATTGTACTGGCACGTATTAGCACTTGCTATATGTATGGACAGCTTAAGGGCAAAATCATAAATATGACAAGTAGCTGTTACCAAGGGATTTGGGATATAGGAAATTATCGACTCAAAAAAACAAAACCAAAAGACAAGCTTAAACAACATTTGCAATCCAAAAAACCACTTAAGATGTGTATTGCTGAACGTAGCCCTAGCATAAACACATTGAGGGGAATTTATCAAAACTGGAGTAGACAAAAACTGGAGCAGATGTGCACGGCAACCAATTCATTTTCAAATCTTAACTGAACAAACTGAAGAGAGAAGCTGATTGGTTGTCATGCACATCTGCTGCAGTTTTTGTCTGCTCCAGTTTCGATAAATTCCCCTCATTGATTGTACAATACCATATAACAGAGAGCTGCTAAGCTACTCTGACAGTCAAAGAGCACTAGTAATAGCAGAAAGTCATCAAACAAGTGGAAATAAACACATACAAGCCTATTTTAACCTGGCAAAATATTTGCAGTTCTATTTACTGCTCAGTTTTCTAGAACAGATTTTATCAAGTGTAAAGGTGCCCAAACACTGCACGATTCTCGTATGAGAATCGCGGGAAATCCCGCGATCGTACGAGAATCGTGCAGTGTATGGAAGGCGTGCAACCGTTTCTACTGTACGGTGGCACGTCTTCGGTCGAACAAGCAGGCTGGAAAACCCGCCAGGAATCATGCGATTCTCGGCGAGTTAGTGGCCTGCTTGTTCCACAACTGCCGAACGGGCCGGTGTGCGCACGCCTTACGTACACTGCCCGTTTGCAGTCATCGGAAGCCCGCCCCTCATTGCAGTCATCGCAAGCCCGCCCCTCAGGGGGCGGGTATGCGATGATCGCAAGTACAATCTGCCTGTCCAAGATGGGCAGATCGTACCTTTTTTAAGTACTTTACAACCCTCGCAAGACAAAAGTCTTACGAGGGTTGTAAAGTGTATGGGCACCTTATAGGTGCCCTTACACTCTGCGATTATCGTTCGGTAATTTTCTTTGCTGCCATGTACCCTCGTTTGATTCTGGCTCAAATAGCCCATCAAGCACAGACCAATGTCGTTCCGATAATCGTTAGTTAGCAATACTGTACTAACTGGTTGAATTTTCAACAATCGACAGAACAGATTTTCGTTTGCACATGTGCAGTGTTCTTTCGTACGAAAACGCCACAAATCCATCGATTTTCGTACAATTCGAAAAAAGTTTTCCAGCCTGGACGATCGAGGAAATTCGGCCAGTTGTTCAGTAACTGTAATTGTTCACTTCCCATCAATTGCCCCATTATGGTACGAAAACCCAATCGCGTTCGATTTCCGAACGATAGTCGCAAGGTGTATGGGCACCTTTAGGATATGTACTTGATCACTGCAAAACATGAATGCAAGTGTTGTGTCAGGAGTTAAGAGGGATGGATATCTGCCATGGTCATAAAGACCCACGAGAAAAGAGCAAACCTAATACATTTCACCCAAAATAGAATTATGGGTTTTGGGTGAAATTAACGTTGTAAAGTTTCAGAAAATATTTTTTACATCAACAAATAACAAGCGCAATTATGGCTTTAAAGCATAAACGCCATTTCAGAAAATGACAACACCTATAAGAAATACTAGATTCAATACAAACGGTTTGTCTGAGGTAAGGCTAGGATACTAGATGACTGGCAAAATGGTAATAATAGTTTTAGGATGTGTCCTTTGTTTTGAAACTGAAAGAAAATGATAGAACATGCCATTAAATCTTAAACAATATACTGTTCACTCCAGGAAATAAAGATGCATATGATAATTCTACTTTTGATGATGTGGATGGGAAGTGTATATGCCCAGCTTGCATGTAAGAACAAGGTAAGAACTTACTTACTTACATTTACTGTATTTCATTTGAAATGCTATTGGAGTAGCTGCTTGAAGTGACAATTTAGCGATGATTTGAGGATCTCCAGCTGAGTGATGTACAAATAAGCTATATTTTTGTTACTAGGTAAGGGCAGGCAAAGGCAAAAAGCAAGGAAAGTCCAAGTCATATGTAGTAACAGATCCTAAGCCATGAAAGCAACCAAACAGAAACTAATGAACACCTTCAGTCAGGCACTGACTAAGGGCTTGTTCGCACCATCTCCAACACAGATCTGCCTTAATTTCTAGTGCGTTCTGGTGCATTTGCATGAGTCTACACGTGTTTTGGTGCATTCCAGACCAGCAAAAATAGTGCATGCAGTACTCATTTGTAAACATTCTGGAACTGAATGCAGTGGTGTGAACAAGCCTCACTTTTTACCACAGGAATGAATGGGGATGCGTTTTTGGACCAGACAAAAGAAAACTTTCTGGTCTGGATCCCTAAGGCCTGATTCACTCCATTTTCCAGACCAGATCTGGAACGCAGATCTGGAGAGGTTTTTCTTTTTTTTTTAAGCTTAAAATGGGCTTTCAGGTGCGGTCCATTGCATTTTTGATGGCACTTGTAAGCCCCCCTATGTGATAGCAATTAAAGTAAAGTTACAAAAAAAATGTTTTTAAAATTAATTCCCAAATGCGGAGGTTCGCCAATCTCCTCCCCAGCTTCCCCCCGACACCAGAGAAGCCGGTCCTGGGCCTGTAGGAGGGGCAACGGAGCCCGGCAAACACGCCGTGGGTGTTGGACGGGGCGTTTAGAAGCGATCTGAGCTGAGCCGCCAGAATCGCTTTTACTGTAAAGCCGACAGTCGGCTTTACAAGTTTAAACAGAGTCCCGGCGGCAAAAGCTGCCAGAAATCTGTTTAAACGGGCCCAATGCCAGTGAGGTACACTGTACGTCACTGATCATGAAGGGGTTAATGCTAACACTGGTTAAAGTAGAAAAATTTGTTTTTTAATGGTCTATAGATTGCACAGAAGTCAATACCACCAAACAATATATTATTTAATTATCTTAAGTAATGACAAAAGGTAGATACGAATCAATAGGCATAAATGTAAAAGTTGCCCTGCCCAACTGAACTGGTTAAAGAAACACAGATAAGATGCAGTACAAACACAAAATCTTATTTACAAATAAACATTTAACCACTTGAAGACCGGGGTGTTTACACCCCCTTACTGTCCAGGCCAATTTTCAGTATTCAGCGCTGCAGTACTTTCAATATCATGACTGGCATTTATTTATCCCGTCATGCAACGCTGTACTGAAATTAATTTTATACCATTATTTGGGGACACAAGAGGAATTTATCAAAACTGGAGTAGACAAAAACTGGACCAGATGTGCACTGCAAACAATCAGCAACTCTCTTCAGTTTGGTCAGTTAAGCTTTGAAAATGAAAGAGTGAAGCTGATTGGTTGCAGCGCACAACTGCTCCAGTTTTGAAAAATTCCCTTCATAGAGATTTCTTTTGGTGGTATTTAATCACCACTGGGGTTTTAATTTTTTACTGTAACAAAGTACCGAAGATATTGAAAAAAATATTTCCCTATGAAATGTTATGAAACATTTATTATCACCCCATTTTTTGGTAAAATATAAAACATGGGGTCACGTCGGGTAAATAGACACCAAACATGTCAAGCCTTAAAATTGAGCGCGCCCACAAAAATCGGAAAACACTACCATACCCAAGATTGGCCATAGGCGACGCTTTAAAAGGTTTTACTGCTCATCAATGAAAAATGGCTCTAGATTTATTGCTCTCCCTCCAACGTTCGCGGTGGTCGTTTTCACACGTAGGCTGTTTTTTTTTAATGTGATTTGATTTTTTTTTTACACATAACTTTATTGCCATCACATAGGGGACTAAGAAGTCTTCTATGTGATAGCCAATTTATTCAACAGGTCCTATTTTTGGAGCCATCAGGGGTCTCCAAGACCCCTAATGTCACCTAGAGACTCCTAGAAAAGCTGATGAAGCAGAGATCTGCCTCACCAGCTTCTCCCCGGGTTCTATAGCCGGGAATGACAGCTAAATGCATGTATTTAAACAGCCATCGCCAGTTGTTTATATTTGAGGTCGTTTTCCCACCTGCATCTACAAGTCTCCTGTCCAGCCGTTTTAGGTACGGCCGCTGGACGGGAGGTGGTTAAAGAAGAACTCCACGAATTAACAAAGTTAACCCTTGCAGTAGGGCCACCCCCACACTGCAAGGGTTAACTGCTCGTTTTTCTCTAGGGGCTGGAATACAGAAGATATACTCACCTGATCCTCAAGCCTGCAGTGGACAGCACTCACCTCTCTCCTCCTCTGCACCGACCCTTGGTGTCCTCACGTCTAATGTAGGTGAATGGACCTGCATTAGACGTGATGACATCAGCGGTGCTTAGACCGAGAATCAGGTGAATATACTGTACAGTATCTTCTTTAACCCATCCCGTAGACCAAATTGAGCAGTCAACCCTTGCAGTGTAGGGGTAGACCGAGTGCAAGGGTTAATTTGGTCATTCTTACTTAATACATGACAAATAATTCCCAGAACACAATGGGTTAGCTCAGAGACAAGAGACAGCGAAGGAGCTGTTGATTGCTTTGTGAAAATTCCAACTGAGCCACTACTGTGATGACTCAGTGGGTTTTATATACAGAGTACATTTTTAACCTTTGGATTGGTGGATTGTTATTTCCCCACCGCCATTTAAAAAGTCACTGCAGAAAAGATCCCTGGACAGCCTGCTGAACGCTGTGTATTGAGTGGATGTCAGAGGCTCGATACCTTGTGATTGCTGTGGTGACCAGTCACAGCTATCACATGCTAGTGTTTCACTTCCCTTCCTCTTACAACAGGAAGGAGATGAAACATAGTGCTTTATAAATGGGGGATGAATAAATGGGTCAGAGGTAGCTGCTAATCAATTCATTCATTTTCACTGACTGTGAGATCTTCTTTTAACCCTCCTCTTCTACACATCTGATCTCCGGGCTGTCTATGTGACATGTATATAAAAAGCCTTTTACCTCCCTTATCCTGCACATCTGCACATCCTATTTATCTCCATGTTGCCACTGTATGTGACCTGTTCAATAACCACCAAAAGAACAGTACAGTGAACAGTGTTGCACGAGTAAGAAATGGCCAAAGTATTACAGTGCTGAAAACATCAAAATTGCTTCGTAATAAAAAGGTATTATATTCTGGTACTCAAGTGGTTAAAAACCTATGGGTCATGAGAGGTTTGTTTCTGCTTCCTTGATCAAAATGATAATATGGATCTTCACAATGTAATTATTGTCTGTTTACTTTCACCTACAGGAATGCTCATGGGTTAATTCTAACCTCACAGAAATCCCTACAAGCATACCAAAGGATATTATAAAACTCAACTTGGCTCAAAATAATATCAGCTCAGATAAATTAACCGAAGAAGCTCTAAAACAATACCCTAATCTTACAGAACTGAATCTTAGTAGCAATAACATTAAAACCCTCTCAAATGCCATTTTTTCTGGACTTACCAAACTTGAAGTTTTAGTCCTCAAAGAGAATGGTATTACAACTGTTGAAGTATTGGTCTTTCAAGGACTAGAATTCTTGAGGATTTTGGATCTCAGCTACAATGAAATTATAGAGCTACCTACGAATATTCTGCAGCCATTTAAGCAGCTGCAAGAATTAAACCTTCAAAACAACAGTATGACAAACCTGGATATTAAAGATGCACTTACAGACTTGAAAACACCTCTAAATATAACACTGAGTGGAAACCAGTGGAATTGTAGCTGCTCCCTTATGCATCTGTCAGAATGCCTAAATGACAGCACAGTAATTCTAGGTAAGTTCCTTTAAAAAAAAATAATTAAAAAGCTTTTTTGACAACTGGTTGGGGTATGATAGCGTTTGAGCCAGTCTTGTTCAGCAAATTTACAATGGGACAGTTGCAGTCTGTGGCTATTTTATTAGGTAAGTCGACTGACTGATAAAAATAGCCAGAGAACTATGAGGTTGAGTGATTTTCACTCACCTGCAACATGCGAAGAATGCAGAGATCGTCATGAGGGTCAGTTGTTAAGCCAGACATTATATCTGACGCTGTAAGATCTAAGCAACTTTGACCATAGAACGATTGTTCGAGTCAAATGTGGATACAGTATTCCAGAAACTAATAACCTCCAGTGATTTTTGTATGTGCTACAGTGTCTAAAGTGTACGAAGAATGGTGAAAAAGAAAGGACATCCAGTACAATGACACTAAACTCAGTAGTTAAACCTTAAAAATACATTCAACTACAAGAACTATTAACATAAATGTATCTTATTTGTGTATCACTCGGCTGTAGATCCTCAAATCATCTCTGAATTGGTGCTGACACTGTCCTTCCTTCTGGAGGGTGGCTACTTTTGTTCCACACGGTCCTTGTGTATGTTGTAAAGTAGCCACTGCTCCAATCTCACTCCCATGATGGACTACAATCTCAATACAAATCAGTAAACTAAATAAGTGAATGTAGTCCATCTACAGTGGCTAATTTACAACACGCACAGGGACCATGGGGAATAAAAGTAGTCATCCTCCAGAAGGAAGGACAGTGTCAGCACCAATTCAGAGATGATTTGAGGATCTACAGCTGAGTGATACACCAATAAGATACATTTTTGTTAAAGGAGAATTATGAGGCAAGTGATTTTCACTCAGCCTCATAATCTGAGCCGACCTGTGACAATGAAACTGTCACAGGTCGGCTCAGTAGATCGGGAAGCGAGCAAACACATATCGTCGCTCGGTCACTTCTCGATCTATCCCTGCAGAGAGCCGTGACTGTCACTAACAGCTCCGTGCAGGGATTGCCCCTGTCCAATCCTTCAGCGCTGACTGGCGGAACGGACGGGGGAGGGAGCGGGCACAGCTGGCTCTGCCTCTAGATAGGCAGAGCCAGCTGTCAATCCCGCAGCTGGGTGGATCTCGACAGCAATGTTGGGATCCGTTCCGGCTGCGGCGTCTCAGTTCAGCTCGCGGTATACTGAGCTTTGGGTCACGGGAGAACGCTAGTTTGTGTTCTCCCGTGACCCTTAGGAGAACTATGGGGAAAAGCCCTAACCCCATAGTTCTCCTTTAATAGTTAAGGTACTTGAATGTATTTTTAAGATTTAACTCCTAAGTTTAGTGTCACTTACGTATCGTTTCTATGGCCATTAACAGCTTGTTGATAAGAGAGTATATAAGAGATGTTTTAAGATCACATGAAGTAGACAATTACCCAAATAATATTTTTTTTCCAAAAGAGATGCTCAGATGCTCAAAGAGCATTTCTGAAAACACACATTGAGTTCCATTCACATAGCTTTAGAACAAGATTAAATAAGTTTATTTTAGCAATGTGACTGTAATTTTCAAATTTTATTGAACTAAACTGAAAATAGATATGCCTTTAAAAAAAAAAAAATTAAGCATTCTTATCCTGGTGCGTTTGCTCTGTAAATTAAGTCTACTGGCCTTTGAAAATGAAGACTTCTAGCAACAGAACAAAACACTAAATGCTAAGAATAGGAAAGTAAAGCTTCCGTGGGCACACGACCATCAAAACTATGAGGTAAGTGTTTTTCCCCATAGTTCTCCTAAGGGTCACGGGAGGACATATACTAGCGTCCTCCCGTGACCAAAAGCTCAGTATATCGCGAGCTACAGCTCGTGGTATACTGAGACTGCACAAGCCGGGACGGATCCCGACATTACTGTCGAGATTCACCCAGCTGCGTGAACGACAGCTGGCTCTGCCTATCAAGAGGCAGAGCCAGCTGTACACGCCCCCCTCCCTCGTCCGTTCCTCCAGTCAGTGCTGGAGGATAGGAGCGGGGAGGGGGGGGAATCCCTGTGAGAGAGGTGACTGACAGTCACGGCTCTCTACAGGGACATGATCGAAAAGTGAGTGAGCGACGGTATTGGTTTGCGCTCACTTCCCGATCTATTGAGCCGACGTGTGACAGTTTCATTGTCACGCGTCGGCTCGAACTATGAGGTTGAGTGATTTTCACTCACCTAGTAGTTCTCCTTTAAGGTTGGAAAACTGTTCCTTCAGCTTTATCTGACAAATCTAGATATGTACATAGTTACAGTGGCGTAACAACCGGGGGGGCGCCATCACCGACCCCCGATAAAAGAAGCCCCTGGCCGCAGATGCAGTGGCTCCCTCTCTCTGCCACATGCACCCGGCTCTGTCATCGGGCGGCCGCTCGCTCTTCTGAGGCCACTGGGGGCGGCCCTCTACAGTGCCTGATCATAGCGGCGATCCGGGCTGGCTGGATCAGGCAGACGAGGCTCCCCAATCAGGCACTGTAGAGGGCCCCCCGCCCCCCCCGGTTGTTACGCCACTGTAACTATGTACATATCTAGATGACAGAGCCGCGTCTGATGCGGGCAGGCTGACCAAGGAGGGATGCACTGTCTTTAGGTGGTCACTCTTCTTCCTTCCCTATCCCTTCTTAATAGAGAATATCCATTGGTAGTAGTCCAGATAAATCCTGAATAAATATAAAAAGACATGATTTTTCAGTGCGCAGGAAGGAGGCACCCATTTTTTTGGACCGGCACTTTTAGGAACACAATAAATTCTGGGTTAATATTAAATAATACATATCCCCTGCGCTCCCATACTCCTTGAGTTGGCTTTCCCCTTCAAAGTGCCCCCCTTGCACTCTCTTCCTTTTAGCCTCTCACAATTGTTGAAGACCTGGGACACCCTCATCTGATCTATCCAAATTTCCTTGTATATTGGACCTATGACTCCTATCATGGACAACGTGGCCTTCCCTCCGGATTTTGAGACCCCTACTTCCCTGCAGTGGAACAATTTGCAATAAATGAAGCCACCTTCCCGGAAAGCCTTAAGCCTCTGTTAGGCCTCATAACTTTAAATTTGCCTTGGGCCCATGGTTAATTCCATTACTTCCAACTTCGAGACTTCTGTAAGTCTTTGTAGAAGCTGGACACCTTTCATCACCCCTTCTCTCCCTTTGAAGCACTATGTCAGGACATGACTGGGCCAACTCATGTTACTTCTTAGTTTTATGAGTTGCTGCTTAAAATGACATAACACATGCATACTACTTTGCTACCTGGAAACGTTTACTCCTAGTGGGGTCTCCAAGGCATGCATCATAATAACTAGATCTACTGCAACTCAGAAGATTTTTACTTGTTGGCCCTGGGAGTCCTCTCCAGGTACTATGTTACATATATGGTGGGGTTGCCCGCGCATTAATTCTGTATGGGAAAAGATTTCTGATATACAGTATACCGAAAGGTCACAGGGACTGCAATGCCTAACACACTGCCCTATTGCTCCTCTGGGCTCATATGCCATCATCTCTAAGACATTACTTACCTTTTTTATCACTACACTGCACATGATAATTCCCAGACTTTGGGGATCTTCCACTGCCCCAATGTTAAAGACTGGGCTGTTGAACTTTGCCTCCTAATGTGGATGGAAAATCTAACAGATTACTTATATGACACTCAATTAAAATATGTTGCCCTATTAAACCCCTGGGTCTTCTTCATGGATAAGCAGGCGTTTGGAACCCTTACTTCTAGCTAGGCCCACATAGATACGAATCACAAGACTGGACATGGTTGCATGTAGGCCAGTGATATGGAATGTGGTTCCACGTGCCACGCACACTGCCCCTGACAGGCCTTTTGAAAGATGACTGGGCCGTTTCTGGAATATTTGGCTGCATTATTCCCATTCAAAAGGAAATACACTGGTTTCTGCATTCCCAATATTTTACAGCTCCTATAACTAGTTTTCATTCTTTTTCTTGCTTTCCTTTTTTTCCAAGCTTGTACATTGGTTCTCTTTTCACTCTGTTACGGTTCTCACTAGGTTGCTTTACTGATGGGTCTACATATATAATTATCATTCTATTATAACCACATTATTCCTTTCATAATCTAAATTAGCAAAACATCTGTACCACAATATTTTCTACATTAAAACTAGGGTTGCACAGATACCAAGTACAGTACTCGGTACAAGTACGAGTACATGTACCGATACTTTTGAGCTCCAAAACTAGACTAGAGAAAAATTCAAAAATTAGGAGGCAGCTGTCCTTTGTAAGGAGCACACGGAGCTCCTGGGATTTGTACATCTCTGTTTTAATGTACGGTTTTGTTTTTATAAATATAAATAAAGTGATGCACAGATACCAGTTTTGCGAGTACGAGTACTGGTACTTGCCGAGTACTTACAAGTACGAGTACTGATACATTTTTGTTTATTGTCATGTGACAGTTTTTCTAAAACAATACAGACTAATGATTTCAGGAAAGTGGTGGAGCACCAGAGCCAGGTCCCAGCTGCAACCGCAGCAACCCTGGTAGTTCTCATGAAAATGCCAAGTATCTGCACTGGTACTCGAAAAGTATCTGTGCATCCCTAATTAAAACACAAACCATAATGGTGTCAGAGGTAATTGGTCTAAAAGTACAATGGTAGAAGCCTGCGCATTATACTAACTATTCATTACACAAAGAATATTACCTTCATGCCCACTACTCTGTCATACTGTTTCCCATAGGAAAGAATTTCCAAGTTGTATAAACTGATTTAGAAGGATGCATTTAATGCTCTCTTATCACTAAATATGTGCCATCTCTGAAAAAAGTATATGTAGCATTTTGTTTTATCCATAGTCTCTTCCTCCAATCAAATTCTTATATGTCATACTTACATAGTCACATAGGTGGACAAGTCCTAAAGTCAACAATCCCTTTTTCTACACCGTTTGTATGTTTTTCTTCCATGAATATACATGTGTCCTCAAAATTTTACTTAATCCAGTAAATAAACTGACATTTTACTTGTTTTGCAGAAAATGAAGACATCACCATGTGTTCCACTCCAGAGAACATGAAAAGTTACACAATCAAAGCAATCTTGACTTCGCCAGACATACAAAAGTGCAATGACAATGGAAGCCCGAGCAGCACTACAGCAGCTACCTTTGAGAACCCTTCAACTGCTCCTATGTTCACTGTGAGCAATGGGACTTTCAGTAAAGTAATCAATGGAACGGCCGCCACATCTACCAAAGGTAAGCCAGAATGCTTGCTTAAAATTATATTTATTGTTTTTTAATTGCAAAACATCTTATAGGCTGCACACCAGAAAGAGACTTAAAATCATACGTCTAGTGCATCCTTTGTTAACCAGGGTGCCTGTCAATGTTGTGGAGGCAGGAATATGATGTGAAGGGGGAAATTCTGATGTGAGAAGGGAGACACTGATATGATTGAGGGGCTTGATGCGAAGGGGGGCTACTGATGCAAAGGGTGACTCAGATGTTGATTTGAAGTGGGCACTTAAATGTAAGGGGGAAAACCCACCTTTTTGTGTGTTTTCACATTGGGTCCCCCTTACAATTAATGACATTTTAGACTGGGGTGCCTCAACTTTGCATACTTTTAAAGGGTGCCGTGACTGAAAAGGGTTAATAAACGCTGATCTAGTGTGCAGCCACTAAGCATTCTGTATGTGTTATTGCATACAAAACAAGCACTCACAAATGATGTCGGTGACATCCCTTGTTGTACAGAATTTAGTTTAGTCAGCGTTACATACAAAACAAATAATTGGCATTATTTTTACGTTATATACATATTTCAGGATATTTAGGTTTTCCCTGATTTTGCCCAATTCACCATTTTTAATTCTAACAGCATTCGTTAATTTAAAAAAAAAATGTAAGAGTAGGAGCAATGGAGGACTAATCTCTGGTTTTCTATGGCCAGACAAAACACTTTACGCAGGGCCCCTATTCAATGTTAATTTATAAAAAAGCCCTCAGGTTGGTATTTTAAAACAAAAAGCTTTGTTGTGCAATGTACATAAATGTGAACACACTGTGTATGACAGGCTGTCCTCATCCCCGCTGCCACAGACCCTACAAGCAGTGGGGATCCATGGAGTCATTCATCCCTCCCTGGGATGGCTCCAGGGAGGGATGAGAGACTCCAGATGCCGGCGGCCGGCAGCTTATAGTAGAACTGTAAATGCCAGGTCCGTATGGCATACTGACCTGGCCAGCTGGAAGCACTTTTGTAGGTCCGTATGCCATACGTCCTTGGCAGCGAAAGGGTTAAGCAATGAGGCTTAAAAAAAATTATGACCATCATAGAAAATATTATGATATTATGTCCTAAATATGTTAAAGTGACCCTGTCACAGGGTGCAACTGAGTGTGTAGTAAGTCACATACCGGTTACAGTGGTGGGATCTGAACATGTATTTGTGACAGCCCCTACCTCAAAGTAGCAGCAATGCAGACCCGCATCCCTACACATAGCCAAAAGTTTCCCCTGTCATGAGTTTAAAAAGAATAGTGGCTCCGAGAGTTCACTCCATCTTGTAGCAGCTAGGTTGCTTAACCAACAGGAAAACAACTGAGAAAACGAGGATGCAAAACTGTGCCGGAGTATCGGCTATCATTAGAGCCAAATGGGCCTCCAGCATTGATAGAGAGTCAGAATAACTAAGGGTTAACAACCCCAACTGTCCACAGAAAAGGCCTGTCTGGATGTTTCCAATCTTTATTGATGACTTCATTAAACAAGGTATGTTATGGAAAATAACAATAGCGGACCATGCTTGTTTGTGATAACCAAGGCTAGAGACTCAGAGCTGAAGGTGTTCTAAACTGCTGCTGCTTTCAAGATAGGATATGGTTTTATTTGGCAGTTTTAATTTGGTGACCAAAGGTCATGCCATGTATCTCCTTTTCTAAGAGAGGACAGTACTTCAGCCTGTAGTGTAGTAAGGCCTGCATCCTATTCAGTAAGGATTGGAGAGTATGAGTCAACCAGAGTGATGGGTGAAAGGCATGAATGGTCCCCATGGTTAGACTGCATCATGAGCTGGGAAAGCTGCAACAAGCATACCTTCATAGCAGAGGATAAGGCTTCAGCTGTAGGGCATTTAGCGACAGGAACCACAGGGGGTCTAGGAGAAGCGACAGAGGCAAATAACACGAGTCACAATGTGATCCCAGACTGTCGTAGTCCAATTCCCCTTTTGCAGATGGAGCACTCAGAAAAGGGAGCTGGACTTCAGGTTCACCTCAAATGTGACACACCTGTATCCCCTGTGGAGTACTCGCATAACTTAACAGTGGTTGGAAGAGCTTAGAAGAAGCAGAGCAGTCAAGCTGCATATCAATCATTGCTCAAGGTGGCATTTTGCAACCCTGAAGGGGTGCTGTGTCCCTGGAGAGATATAGACCCAAAATGTGCTGGTCAGGAAAGAGCAGAGAGAAGTTGTTTTTCGATTTCCACCCAAGAAGGATAAAGTAGCGAGGAGTGCATGCACAGGAAATCTACACTTTATAGTAGCATAGACCAAATAGAGCCTAAAAAGGGAGACCTGCCAGAAAAAAATTAATCAGAGCTCAATCAAATTGAACGATGGCCACCCAATGCCATCGAATACACCATCCCCTAGGAGAATAAATCGGAGGCAATACCAATACAGCCCAAGCTGCAGGCAGCTTGCACTCATAGGAAAGTGACTTGAGAGACAGAATCATGCAGGACAACTGCCACGGCTCAGGACATGGGAGAGACACTGCAGTGAATTGTCAGACCAATGCCTGAAGCAGAGTTCTGTGCTTGCAAGACGGCATGTCCAGGTATGCCTCTGCAGAGGCAGAGCTGTTACAGTGAGATTACCAATGTTATGTGAAAACCTGCACTCATGGCTGACTGGAAAGACTTCCAGGATTTAGTAGCTGGCCTGAATGTATCAGGAGCTGTTGCCTGAAGAAAAGGAAAATTCCAAATGAATAAGTGTAGAAACAACAGAGCTGGGAAAGACATCCAACCGCCTTAATCACACTAAGCAAAACGGAGAGAAATGATTGTTGGAGGGGTTATATTACCTAGGGCTAGCCTCAGTTTTCTGGCACTTGTGCACAAATCTTAAGCAGGTGGCAGTAAAACCCACGGTTAAAGTAAGCAAGAAACATATTAGAGGTCAATCAACCATTAAAAAACAATGTACATCTAGGTACTGTTTTTCAATCCACAGCTTTGTTTTATAGTCAGTATTAACCTGTTAACATAGCATAACCTGTGACAGCATATTGAGTGAACAGGTTTGTCAGTTGACCCAACCTATCCTTATCAGGGCAGCAATAAAGATAAGAAAAGGAGGGAGTAGTTCACAGATTTTATTTAGTCTTCAATGACTCTGCACAAATGGAAATGGCCTATAGTTTACTAAATATAAAAAATACACTAAAGCATTATTCAGTACAATGAACACTTATGAAATAACAATCGCATGGGAGATGCAATCTGAGAAAATATTTACAGTGCCACCTGGTGGTCTATTTGGTATGGAGAATCATCAATTCAGATTGGTGATCCTATCTGATCCAACATGAGCTCCACTGTAAAATGATTTACTAATACGGAATGGAAAAAAAATAGGGTGTGGTAGGGGCTGGTTCATATGTGTGAGCACGCTATGCATAATTTTCATGAACTGTAAGGTTGGTCAGCACATTATACTAACATCAACATATGTCTTATACATTACTGATATTTATTTTCTTATGCAAAGAACTGAATACGCTTTAGTCTTTTTTTGGGCTCCTTAATATTTGCATACTATATTTATTGCTATGCATGTTATGTGTTTCCATTAGTTTGCTTTGATGGAGTTTACAGTACATCTGAAATGCACTTTAATGAGAGAATCCTTTCTTATGGGATAGTCAAAGAATTTTCTTCATTGCATGTGGGTTTTTTTTTCTGACAACAAAAAATGTTATCTATCTTTAAAGGTAAACCTTTAACCCACTATCACATGGGGGGGCTTGTAAGCCCCCCCATGTGATAGCAGTCAAAGTAAAGTTAAAAAAAAAAAAGTTTTTTACATTAAATTAAAATAAAATAAATCTAATAATATTAAAAAAACATTTTTAAAAGTATGGCATTCAGAAAATATATAATGTTGGGGGGTTTTAAGTAATTTTCAGGCCTAAAATTTGGAATATAACATGGGTACAAAAAAATGAAAAAAAGGCCTCAGTCATGAAGGGGTTAAAGATAAAACCTTGTCTGTTTTTTAAAAGGTATAAAGTCTCACCAAACAGCAGCCATTACAATATGCCTGTTATTACCTTGTTAGCCGGGGAAAAAAATCTCAAATTCTCTGGTTTTAGGACGTATTCAAAGAGTATACCTCAGCGATAAAAACAAGCAATCTTACTTGACAGTAGACATGTCAGTGTATGGAGGAAAGTTAGAAGCAGGGTTCTCCCAGGACAAGAAGGGTGTAGAGAAAAGTTTTTTTTTGGTTTTTTTTACTAACAAAGGTAATAGTAGATACCATATGGGCAAGGACTCTCCTTTTAAAGGTCTATCCTCTGCTTAAATAAAGCCTCTTCACCATCCTGGAAAATTGTTAAATGTTTATTAGATATACACAATCAACTTAAAGCTGAACTCTGAAGTAGGTCCCCCCTGCACAGCAAGGGTTAATTGCTTATTTTGTCTAGGTGGTAAAGTAGGGTGAAATATTATTCCCTTGTTCTGCAGGCTTCCTCTCCTCTGTAGGACTGGTCCCCTGAAGCTGCTACTGCAGTCAAAACTTTCCGATGACATGCAAGTACACCAAGAACTAGCCCACATTCCAGGAGCGTCGGAGCTCAGAGAAGTGCTTATTCCTATCCCCCTAGACAACACAATTAGCCCATGCAGTGCCCCATCCACCCAGTTACATTTACAGTAACTTACAGTTGAGCTTTTTTGAAAAACAAACAATCTGATCAGTATTTATTAGTGCATTATAAACCCTATTAATAAATTAATAAACAAATTTGAATTATCAATGTACAAGGGGCAGACTTTTACATTCTCTCACCTTACTTTCCGATTGGAAGTAACAGTAATAAATAATTGGTGACTAGAGACTGTATAATCAAATGTGGATTTCAGTAATAGATCCACTTTAAGCTGCAAAGAGACTCAAAACCTCCTCCACTCCTGCAGGATGAAACAGTACACACAACATGTACGGTGAATCTCCATATGGCTGGTTTCGGACCTATAGCTGGGAATAAGCTGGGATGGGCAAATTAATATGCAATTCGGGAGCCAGTCTGTCCAATTCAGGAGCCAGCAGGAATTTCTTAGGAGCCAGCTCTACTGACAACTAGAGAAAACCTCAACAGTTAGGTGCCGGCAATACATTTCAAGGAGCGTTGGCTTCCTGGCTCCTGGGATTTGACAGCCCTGGAATAAGCAATCAAAACATTGCAAAGTGCAGTTCATTTTTTAGATGATTTATAAATCCTCTGCTCAGCCATAGGCTGGTCAAATGCTATTCGAATGGCATTCTCGCCACTAGATGGAGCAGAGTAGCAAAGAAATCAGCTCCATGAGTGGCAAGAAAGTCATGTGGGCGGCATTCAGCCAGTGCTGGGCAGATGATTTATAAATCATCCCCTAAGTGTTGAGTATTGCTTCACCCTGCTGAAAAGAGGGACATTTTGGCAGATGTGATGCTCAATGGCCCAATAGGCTAATAAGTTTCCAGGGTGGTATAGGAGCTTTTAAAAAGACAGATGCTAACATCATTGGCAATATTTATGAGGCAAGTGAGCAAAATTTTTAATTTTACATTGAATGAATGGAGCCCTTCAAAATGCATCAGCAATATGCATTCTTTTACCCTGCTTTAGAGTATATCTAAAGCCAACCCCTTGTTACATATTTGATACATGAAGAAATGGTTAAACCAATGTGTATTTTTTTGTACTGTGTCCTATTGGGGAGATCACCCTTCACTACCTGCCCTGAAGACACAACATAAGTAGAGGAAATACCCCCAAAGCAGCTGTTCCTTCTTTGGCAACTATCACTAGAACAGGTTCCCCCAATGAAAGATATCCCTTTATTCCTGTTCTAAGCCATCCATTTCTGTCCCAGAAACAATGGTCACCGGGACAGCAATCAAAAACCCCAAAAAACTAATAAAAACTGTTTTGAAACTAAAAAAAAAAAACCCAAAAACTGACCCCTGTTTGGGGTTCTAGTTCTTTCCCACTCCAAAACTAAAAAAAAATATATAACTGTGCCTAATCTATTCTGCTTCAACAGGAAACAGCTGGAGATTCCTTGTGGGAGTGGTGATCGCTGGGATTGTCACCCTATTGCTGATAACAGCTGCAGTCAAGTTCCCCAAATGGTACGAATTCTTGCTAAGTTACAATCATCATCGCCTAAAGGAAGAAGAACCCTATATGTTTGAGGAAGAGTTCCACGTGGACTTCAGCATGAGCACAAATGATAGAATCCAAGAAGAGGAAGAAACTGTGGTGGTCTTCGAACAAACACACTCCTTTATACCTGAAGAAGATGGATTTATAGAGGACAAATACATTGATGAAAAGGATATGAGAGAAGAGAGCTGAGCCAAAATGAAAAACTTACACTACTGGGATTTTGTACATATATGACAAATGCTTCCTTGTCAAGAAGTATACAAAAAGATCAGATTTTCATATATTGTGATCTCACAGATAAATGTGGTTTTGTGCTCAGGTCTTTAGCCAAATGGCTTTCTGGGAGTATTCCATCCATAGCCATGTTTCTTGATTTAATACTTACATTATATTTTTTTTTATATAAAGTGAGAACAGCACCTTTCAGACCTTTTACTGCATGTCATTTAGGCAATCAATCAGATGAATTGCTTAATCGTGAAAAAGTTTTGGTATCACACACGTCAGAAACGGCAAAATATGTTGTGTCAAGCACTTAAAGCAGCAGTGCTTATTTCCTGTTCATTATCTTTATTTTGTATTATAGTTCAGATAAAATTGCATGAACAATACATACTAGTAAGAGAAGGAGTATTACAAAAAAGCAACAGTGTTCAAGGTACATAGATACCATAATGTAAATCAAAGAGCAGGTTATTTAGGTTTATCAAGTCAGTGCAGTAAGGTGGCAGGGGGCAGGGAAGTGGGGTAGGGTAAGGGAAGCGAAGACATTTAAACAATGTGCAGGCACTTGAAGGGGACAAGTTTGCAATGTAAGAGTCAATTCAGTACATGTATTATGTCCATTGTTCCTCTTTAAAGCAAACCTATCTGCTATTGTCACATTTTAAGGGTAAAAGTTCTGCCTGACCGAATGATCCATGAGGTAGCCAGGGACAGAGAGAAGAGTCCTTACTACAACAACAACAACAACCAACACTTAAGCTGCCCATAGACTTGAGCCTCTGGTCAATAAGACATGCATATTTTTAAAAAGAACTCTGGTTAAAAATGTTATTAACCCTTACAGTGGGGCTAAACCCGCACAGCAAGGATTAAGGACTCGTTTTTGCATAGGGTAAAAAAAAAATGTTATACTCACCCTCCAAGTCTCTTAGACTAGTCCCTGGAGCATGTATACCGCTCCTCTGCAGCGGTCTTAGGTCTGTCAGTCATCACATTCTATACAGTGTGTATAAGACATGAGGATGCCGCATAGGGGAAGAGAGGCTGGAGGGAGTGCTGTCATAGCAGGCCAGCGCCAAGAATCGGGTGAGTACAACTTTGTTATTTTTGATCCTAGGTAAAAAGGAGCACTTAACCCTTGCAGTGTGGGGGTAACCCCACTGCATGGGCTAATGACATTATTAACGGGAGTTGTACTTTAACCGCCCTCTAGGCAAGCTATCTGCAGAATTCAAAAGTAAAACATAAATTAATCTTTGACTACAATGTGATTGTGAAATTAAAATGAAGGAGATACTGGAACCAAACAAACGTGTTTCTGATCTGCAGACCTCCAAATTTTCAGGCAGAAGCATTGCACTGTTAATTAGTAATACTCTTAATGACTTTACCCTCGCTTCTGTATCCAAATCTTCAAATTTCACACTGATCGATTATTGAAAAAGTTGACAACTTTTTCAATAATCGATTATAATCGATTATGTCGATTAGTTTTGCAGCCCTAGTTGGTGGCCACTGATAGAAGCACAAGGATCTTCAATGTACTCTGCTCAGCCCCATGTCCAACCATATACAGCAAGCCCTCTGAGATCTCTTAGGCACCATTCACACTAAGCGACACTTACCTCGAGCGGATTTCCGCACGGCGGGATAGCATTAAAAAAAAAAGGAAATTTGCGTGACATCCGCAGGACAAAGGGTCCTGCAGGCGCGAGTTGCGACCGCAACGAGCGACGGGAGACATGGAGCTGTACATTAAACACAGCTACATTCAAAATCATTGGACGTCGACTTCTCGCGATATCGTGCGGCAAGAATGTGCGATATTGCGGTATTTTCCGCTCAGTGTAAATGGGGCATTAGGCCTGGTTCACACCTAGGCGTTTTTGAGCAGTAGAAAAAGCGCTTTAAAAACACCCAACGTAAGAAATCCCACGATTTTCAATGGCCCCTGTTCACACTTGAGCAGCAAAACACACCAAAAGCAGAAAAAAATACAATAGCTTTTTTTGGCCATTTACAGCTCTTTTTTTCCCATAGACTGCAATAGAAACACCAGGAAACGCGCAGCAGAAGTATATTGCACATTTTCATGGGCGTTTGTACACACATTCGCTGCCAGTCAAAATACACGTCATCGTATGTGCACGTTTTCACGTGTGTACAAATGTGCCAAGCCTGCACAAAACAAAAAAATTGCTGAGCCAGCGTGTACAATGCGCAAAAACGACAACGCCTTGGTGTGAACGGGGCCTGTACTGTTCGGCTCAATACTACTCAGTACTATACTAGTTCATATCAAAACAGTAAAATACAGCCCATCTTAATCTGACAGTCCTCCAGAATAATGGTCAAGCTTCACATTGAACACACTACAATGGACACTCCTTTCTAGCCAGAGCAGGGTATGTAGGCTTTCAGCGCTCTCACAGGTTTTCCCTTTTTATTCTTGACGCAAAAACAAGGTAACCAGATTCTACACAGTGCAGACTGGCTAATGATACCACATGCAGCGTTTTAGGGGTGCTGTTTCACTTCATAAAACAAAAATGTCTAAACCATCTGAAAATACAGGATCACTTTGCAAAATAAAGAGGGATAAGCTTGTTATTTTAAAAACTTGGTAAAGTAAAAACCAAAGAAAGCCATATTACAGTTTAGCAGCGAGAAACCTCAATTTCAATTACATAATGTTACAAATCAGTCTGCATTCTTTTTATTTAATTCAGAAAAGCTTATAATCAAGTACTCACGCTTGTCGCTCTGTGAAAATAATATCTATACTCTGGGATTCTCGATCATTCTGAGATTTCAGCTATAAAAACAGAAGGTTTGTTATACAACAGGAAACAAAGCAACACATAACTAAAAACTATTAAACGGTATGTATTATTAATAAGAGAACTGTGATAATAATACTGGAATGTAATACATATAGTGAAGACTAGACCTCTCACTCCAGTGACAGGAGCAGCTAGACTCTGCTTTGGCTGAAGTTATTACTATTATTATACAGGATTTATATAGCGCCAACAGTTTGCACAGCGCTTTACAATATAAGGAAGACATTACAATTACAATCACAATACAATTCAAAACAAGATGGTAAGGAGGGCAGAGGCAGAGGAAGTGACAAATGAATAATATCTAAACCCCCAAAAAATGTAATTCATTGTAACTGTAATGTAATTTGTATTATTTATGCCAAGAACATTTTCAGCAAGTACAGAAAATACCTGTTCAGCTTGCCAGGAATGCAGTGTACTTGTTACTCCTTCCTTCCATGCCATCTTCTCTAAACGGGAAGCCTTGGTGACAACTATGGCTCCTTCTATAGATACAGTTGAGGAGTGAGCGTAGCCACCAAAGAAAAGTAAGTGTTCTATTCACAGGATTACCTTGTGAAAACTAAAGCAGCCACCACATTTAAAGTAGAACTAAAAGCTTGGTCTTTTTTTACCTTAATGCATTCCTTGCATTGTGGTAAAAAACACCTATTACCTTTCTATTGCTTCCACCACCCCCACTTAACTGCGACCACTCATCTCCTCCACCGGAGGAAGATACTCAACATTCCCCAAATTTGCTGGTCCTGGGGAGGGTACTGCCATCAGTCAAATTGTGACTGTGCGAGCGGGGGGCATGGCTTGCCACTCGCTGTGTGTGTCTATAGACGCACACCACTAGGTGCAGCCACAGCTGGGAGCGCGCGCGCATGGGTGTCTCCTTAGCAGCCGGCTAGCTGATGGAGGCACCCGCACAGGGTGGGAGCTAGCGGGTCAGGGATAACTAGAAAACGAGGATATTAAAAAGTATAAAGGAAAAAACTTAAATTAACGTACCTCTGGCAACTTTAAATATAATAAGAACAAACAAATTAAGGTTTAATACCACTTTAAGGACTGATTGGCTACTATATATTAATTTTGTTGGGGTTTAGATACGCTTTAATATTAGCAGGTGAAAAAAGGGCATACTCAAGCAAGTTTATAAAGTCTGACTGCCTTGCCATATAGCAGACATGTCAAACTAGTGTTTTATGGGCTGCATATGCCCCCCTCGCTCTTTGTCCATGGCTCCAAGTGGTTTATGGATTTAAAAAAACAAATATGCCCCATTTGTTCTTCAACTGATAAGTTAGATTTTCACAGCTAAATACTTCACAAAATGTTTTATGGTCTCTATCTCTGGAAATTAAATATTATGGGTTTCAATTTTTACTATAATGTTAAGTTCATAAGTGCTATAATCTTTTTCTGCAATTACGTAGGTGCAGCCCTGAGCAGACATAATGCAGCCCGTTTGAAGATTTAATCTTCTCAGTTTGACCCACTGCTTCATCTGACATGCCTTCTATAGAGGGATAGATGCAAAGTGTAGAGGAAGGTGGGTGCTGCTTCCCAACCAGAGCTTCCACCTATCACTTAAAAACGAATTACAAATTATGAGTGACTAATACAGGTAAAGCACTAAGTAAATATAACAGGCATGTTATTCAATGACATAAATTTGTTTAATTCATGTTTGGTTTTTTAAAGGATAAGGTGGCAACCCTATTCCTGACACCAAGACATTCGTTCAGTCGTTTGAAATTTCATTTTTATTTAACATTTGATTTCTGAATGAATGGAGTTTCCCAAAAGAAAACCACATTCACTTTTAGAATCTCAGTCGATCGAGAAAAATTTTCCAACATGCTCCTTCGAATTTTCTAAATCAATCATCAATTTCATTGCATCAACTAACAGAAAGTTGAATAAACTTTCCGAAATCGTTTTCGTCCATTCGAAATTCTAACCACTTACATTATACTCTACTTAAGTAAACTGATACTGTCTGCATAGCTTACCATATTATATTCATTCAGAACTTCTTCCATATCTGTGTTTGTATTCAGTTTGTCAACCAGCTTAAAAGCAACAAAATAAAGGCACAAAATTATACGGTTGCAACTGATCAAATGGCCTGCCAGACAGATCGTAGATGCACATTTTTAAAAAGAACAAAATACATTTAATGAATATGTATTACATTCAAAAATAAAAACAAGCCATACCTTAAACATGATCATTTTTTACGTACTTATTTTAAAGGGAATCTACTTTGTTTGAAATGTACATGTTTTTAGGGTGGACTTGTTTTAGCACACCCTCTAGTAACACAACTTTGTGAGTCATTGCTCCAGCCAATGAAGTAATACCACGGAAAAGAATTCTAGGTTAGTGACCAACTAACTGTTAAAGCTAGAGGATGATGGCTAGAAAAAAAGGACAATGCTTGCCCACATATTTTGTCCCAGAGTGGTTCCCTTTAAGACCAAGTGTTGAAAGCTTTAGTTTGCGGAATTATTAAATGTATTGTACAGTAGAACATATGTAGAACATTCTCAGTCTCTGCAAAGAGTTTCAGCCACTTCTTTCTCTCAGTACTCTAGTTTAAGTAGAGCAGTGTATATCACATTCACGCCACAAAGTGGGCGCGAATGTGATATACACTGCTCTACTTAAACTACAGTTTAGGCCTGTAGGTGAACATGCCACCTTCTATTCAGAAATCTAAATGGATAACAGCCCTACATGCACTCTGCTAGGGAGCACATGTAAGTAACTGCACATTTTATATGGCAAAATAGGCAACACAAAACTTAAAGGAGAACTTTTCCCCATAGCTCTCCTAAGGGTAACGGGAGGACACAAACTAGCATCCTCCCGTCACCCAAAGCTCAGTATACCGCGAGCTACAGCTCGCGGTATACTGAGACGCCGCAGCTGAAACGGATCCCGACAATTATGTCTGGATCCGCCCAGCTGCGTGAGTGACAGCTGGCTCTGTCTATCTAGAGGCAGAGCCAGCTGTACCAGCCCCCTCCCCCGTCCGTTCCGCCAGTCAGTGTTGGAGGATCGGAGCGGGGAGGGGGGAATCCAGTCCCTCCCCTGTCACGGCTCTCTGCAGTGACAGGATCAAGAAGTGAGCGAGCGCTGGTATGTGTTCGCTCACCTCCCGATCTACTGAGCCGACATGTGACAGTTTCATTGTCACAGGTCGGCTAGAACTATGAGGATGAGTGGAAAATCACTCACCTCATATTTCTCCTTTAAGTGTCTGTTGTGCCAAATTGTTGTCCTGAAAAGGTATTAACATATACTTTTAGAAACAGTGTACGTAGAAATAAAACATTATAACTGATGTCAATCACAGACACTAAAGCTTGGGTAATTGCGATTGTGAAGATAAATATAGTCAAGCAGTCCCTAGTTCTCTAGTTTTGAACAAACACGTGTGTCTTACCTTAGGGTATCAAGATTTTAAGGTAAAAACAAAGCAAAGAATCTGTATGGTTGGTGGCCACTGACTGACTGTCAGAGCTTAGAAACATCGGGATACATACTGTTTTATTCTCATGCCCACTAATGGAGAGCAATAACATTGAAAAATCGGAAAACTACAGCCGTCTGTCTTTCGTGATACTAATACAACACTAACATACAGTATATTCAATCATAATCTAACAAAAGTGTATTTCTAGTCTTTTTAAAATGATCATCACAGAATGTAAAAAAAAGTTCTATATATGGAAGCAAAAAAGTCTACAGATGTGGGAGGACAGTCTTTCATGTGGGCAGAATCTGCTTAATCAGTACTACCAACCTTACAAGTTTATGTAAATAGAGAAGGGTAGAGTTGGGGCATACCATAGATAAGGGATCAGTTCACAGACCAATAACAGATCTGAAGACTCTAATTTCACAACCAGGGGTTCTTTAAGACTTCACAGGAATCAACTTGTAAATAATCTGGAGAACTGACTCATTATACTATCTATAGAGTATGTTTAGCATTGTCTACACATTATTCTTGGTCATATTTAAACAATGGAGCATATAGGCTGTAAGCTTGCAAAACATTTCACGTCTTGCCGGTCCTAACATGTTTTAGAATATTTTGCCACTGTGTAAGTAGGCGTCAATGAGATGTCTATTTCTACTGATGATGGGATAGAAATGTATGGTAGATAACTATGCAGGAAAAAAAGTCACTTCATTGCATCTGGCACTAACACTATCATTTATGAAACAGATATGGAGATAATCTCTGCAACTGCTTTGCTTGATGGTATGTTCATAAAAGTATTTGTTTTACAGAAGACATGTTGTAATAAATAGAAAATATACCATGTTGTAGTCTGCTAGCTGTCCCTGCTGTTCCTTAATTTCAATAGCAAGTGCTTCGGCCCTGAGGACAGAACAAATATTTACAATCAGATATTTACAAAGACACGTTTAAATCCTACAGCACTATTAACAAGGTTGGCTTGCCAAGAAAGCAAACTGCTTGAGTTTATTAGAAACAAGGACAGCAGACAGAAAAATAAAACATATGAAGAGCGGTACTATGTTAAGCATGAAATAGATCAGTAGTACTTTTGATAAAAATAACAAAAGCGACGGAAGATCAGAAGTGCAGAAGAGATGTAATTTGTAAAGTGAACCTATGCTATGCAGAGAAAAGTAAGAGGTTTGCTTAAAAATTGACAGTAAACTCAGGAGTCAAATCTTAAAAATGCATGCAAGTACCCTAACTATTAACAATACTGTATCTTATTTGTGTATCACTCAGCTGTAGAGCCCCAAATCATCTCTGCATTGGTGCCGACACTGTTCTTCCTTCTGGAGGGTGGCTACTTTTGTTCTCCATGTGTGTTGTAAAATAGTCACCGCTCCAAGCTCACTCCTGTGATGGACTACAATCTCACGTTTCATTTACTAATTTGTATTGAGATTGTAGTCCATCACGGGAGTGAGCCTGGAGTGGTGGCTACTTTACAACACACATGGGGAACAAAAGTAGCCACCCTCCAGAAGGAAGGACAGTGTCAGCACCAATTCAGAGATGATTTGAGGATCTACAGCCGAGTGATACACAAATAAGAGACATATTTGTTAATTGTTAGGGTACTTGAATGAACTTTTAACATTCAACTCCTGAGTTTAGTGTCACTTCAAATGCCATTAACCAGCATACATTTACCTTCCCTTCGCTCCCATGTGGCTCCCAGAAATACCTGGTACTTCCACGTATAGCGAATGATGTGACTCAATCGCTTTCCTCCCTCATGACAGTGCCAGTGCTTGGCAATTGCCCACTAAGGAACCGGCTGGGCTTCTTCATTTTGCTCCCGGTGGCAAACAGAGAGGCCAAGAGAATGATGGGAAAGTAAGTATAAGATGCTTTGGGGGGTTGGCTTTATTGTGAAACTGTTTCTTGGTCAATGCAGGCCCTCCAAGAATAGTGGTGCGCCCATCATCAGAAACTAGGCTATATGCTATCCAAAGTGACACTTTGAAACATTTTACATTTAAACGGGCAGATTTTTTGAAGAAACAAAGCACTGAACATTACATGTTATGCTAAACCAAAGAGGGTTTCCAGTCCTTTTTTTTTTTTACTAAAACAAGCTACTGATACAATTACAGTCACACCTATACGTCATCATATAATAAGGCATATAGGGATTGGCATAGAGCAGTGTAGACCTGTAAATACACTGGGAGGGATTTATCTGTGTTGGAACTTGCACAGAAAACACTTTGCGCCAGATTTATGTTGCTAGTGTAATGTTGTTCATAAAAGAGGTTTAATAGACTCCAGGAAAGAAGACTTGTAACTCCAGGCAAAAAGCTTAACTGTCACTTATTGAAGAAGTGGTCATGGGGACTTCTTAAGTTGTGATTGTTTTGTTAGGTGATGCTCCAGTTTCAGACAGACGCAGGACAAGTGCAGATGAAAACAGTTGCGAACTTTTGTAAAGCAGGAGCAAAAGGAAAACTAGTGCAAGCTCTGGTCAAAACAGGGGCACATGTTAAGAGACAGATTTGCACATAAAAAAAAAATATGATCTAAGAGGCTAAAACTTTTCTCAATTGCTTTGATACATTTCCACCATTGTATATAGCACATCTTATAAGCATATACATGCCCCTAAGCAACTGGAAAGATCCAAGTGCCCAAGAGCCCACTTTTTGTTGAGCTAGCACAAATTGTTTGCACATTACACAACAAATGATACAACTGTACAAAAGATACTGAACTACAACGTGCCTTTTCTCATATGACAGATATACGGAGTTCTCTTGATTGTACGTATCAATCTCTTTCTTCAGCTTTGTCATTTCTGTTGTAAGCTCATTCACTTTACTCCTGAAATGAAAAGGTTGACACTGATGGTAACAAACAAGGGCTACTAAGAAAAATAGAAAGATTTAATGGCAGAAGAGCCCAACATTTTAAGGAAAGAACAAGCCTTACTTTTGATATACACTCATTTACAAAGTTACAATGTCATGATGCAGAGGTAAATTTGGCGATAGCATTGCCCATGATCAACTGCACATGCTTGGATTCCCTTCCTTTATTAAAGAAAAACTCCAGGAATTAACAAAGTTAACCCTTGCAGTGGGGCTGCACTGCAAGGGTTAACCGCACATTTTGGTCTTAGGCCAGATTTTAGAAGAATTTAGAAGAAGATCCCGCCTGCATGCTAGACCGGTCACACAGCCTTTTCTTCCCTGGGATCCTAAGGACCCGTGACGTCATCACGTCTAATGCCGGTCCATTCACTTGCATTAGATGTGAGGGGGAGAAAGGCGAGTGCTGACTGCCGTAGGACCAAAGACCATATGCTCTGTATTCCGGCACCTAGACAAAAAGGAGCAGTTAATCCTTGCAGTGCAGGGGTAGCCCCCACTTCAAGGGTTAACTTTGTTAGTTCCTGGAGTGCTTCTTTAAGTTGTCCTTGTCATTTGAAAGGAATTTGCAAATATATGGAGCATTCTGCAGCTCTCAGGGGCTCTGCTGTCTTTAGGGAGGTTGGATCTTAAATGTATATCTGACTGAAGTGCAGACAATCTCCAAAGTGCTGCAGAGAACAATATAAACTTGCTAGGTCATCTCAACAGGTTTTCTAACCTACCAGATCAATATGATTCTAGAGAGCTGTAAGCTGGCAGGCACACACCTGTTTTCACAGAGAAGCTGAAGGCCACTTATAAGGCTATATTCACACGGGGCATTCTGGGATTCCTGTGGCAAGAACCTACGAATTTCAGCAGCAGGAGTCCCAGGTGTCTCCTTTCAGATGCAGTCGCTGTACCAATTGACTTTAATGATAGAATGACAGCGGCCACATCTGTCAGCTGCCTCTATCCTGTGTCCAGGGACAATAACCTGTAGTAAAGAAGTCACCTGCACTCCAAGGTCCACTATGTAGAACACCTTTAATAAAGACGCTAAACAATCATGGTGACACTAGTGAACAACATTTTGAAACCATTAGTGGCCCCTTCATCAGGCAAACACTGTGACAATCATCTATCCCGACTACCACTGGGAGAAGCAACTGCTGTCACTCCAGTGGGTAAAGCGGCTGCATCTGAATGGGGACACCTGGCATTCCTGATGCAGGAATCACAGAACACGGAATACGTCCCTGTGTGAATTTCACTTTCTTTGTCAGAGGTTGGCAACCTCAGCACTCCAGCTGTGGTGAAACTACAAATTTCATATATGTGGTTTTTCAAAGTCTTTTAATGCTTCATGGGACTTGTAGCTCCACAACAGTTGGAGTGTCAAGGTTGACTACCCCTGATCTATGCTTAATAATAGACCAGGCCTATCTAAAGACTTGTAACCACTACACTGAGTATAAAGAATTGCAGTATACAATACCCTGTTTGAAATCTGATTTACATTTAAAGGGTTATACTTACTTGCAGGGAATGACCTATCAGGTTTCAAAGGTCATGACAGAAATCATAAACACTTAAAGCTCTCTCTGAATCTGACATTTGCTTTTCTACTTTCATTAAACTAGCTGGAAGTTGACACTACAGCTGCTGAAATTTTCACTAATGAAATAGAACAGTAATAAGAAGAGCAGTAATAAGAAGAGAACACATTCTTTCAAAATGCAAAGACTGAACCACTTGGATAAAATGTATAGTTGCAAAATGTACATATATCAAATTTACAGGGAAGCCTGAATGCACAACAAGCACTGTAGAAATTTCATACAAAACAAAATCATCAACATACCGAAGCAGCCCAAGAAAGTAGGATTTGTCCATAATCTGTCTCTGAGGACCTGAAAAGTAAAATGAACAAAAGACCGAAGAATACAGGTAAAATTGCGAGCTTTGGAACATTTGCAGTTTCCTTTAGTCTTGGTTAAGTAAGTAGCGGCCACTTTAAAACACAATAAGGGGAATTTATCAAAACTGGCGCAGATAGAATCTGCCCATAGCAACCAATCAGCTTCCCTCTTCAGTTTGTTCAGTTAAGATTTGAAAATGAAACAGAGAAGCCGACTGGTTGCCATGGTTTTTTTCAAAACTACTCTTAGCAAAACTAAAGATCTTTTTTTTCTGGTTCACAAACTGCTTCAAAACCTCTTTATCCAATATCTAACAACAAGAATATTGCCCAATACAAGGCAGTCAGCAATAACATCTATCAACACCACCTACACACCCTTTTTATCAATGATAGACTGATTATTAAGAAGCAGATGCGTAATGCTGATCTACAGGAGGAACACTCTCGTGGTTTTTAGTCCAACACAATTTTTAACTTGGCTCTGGTATCTATTCTATACAATACCGTTGCAAGGAAAGTGTGTTCTCTGCTCCTATAACAACACAGCTTAAAATGGCATTGATTTAAAGAATCAGTCCAGGCTTGATTCTTACAGGTGCGATCATGGAATCTTGAGTGTTAGAGACTGCCCACCAATACTGCCGCCTGACATTCTTCCCCCAGCCTGTCTCCCCCCCCCCCTGTATGTAAACAGCCTCCCA